AAATCTGGTGAGGGGTCTGAAGCACAAACCTTATTAGGAGCAGCTGAGAGAACTGGGATTGCTTAGTCTCGAGAAGAGGAGACTCGAGGTGACCTTACCACTCTCTTCAATTGGAGGTCTTTTCCAACCTTGATGATTCTGATTCCATTGTCCACAATGGGTGTGTAGAAGCAGTTTAATCTCAGAGTGAATCTATGTTACAAGAGCCGTTCTGTCCCAAGCTGGCTAATCACAGAAATATAAGACATAACATAGTGTTATGTCGGGTGACAAAAATGGTTTTTGGGTATGTGACTTCAACATGAAAACCGAAGACAGAGATGGCTGTTTCTTTTCGTGTTAATTTATTAGTCTCACCTGTAATTCTATGAGATTTCCCACTGAACTTTAATAGTTGATCAACCTCCAAAATATCTCATCTAAATCAGAGTAAAATTTCATTCCATTAAGCCCTGAGGTGGTATGGCCTTTGAAAGTACATGTTTTCAGAAGTTCCAGTAAGACCTGAGTTAAAGGATGCAACACCATACTTCCAGTGAATTGGACCTGTGTCAGCATGTATCAAGGTTGTCTGCAAAGTGGAGGAAGCTTAGATTCCTCCTCTCTATCCTGACCACATTTTATCTCTTTGCAATCCATTCCCCAGATACTCAGTTTTAGGAAGTGAATCACAGTTGTTCCATGGGAGAGCAATGAAAGAAAGGAAGGAGGAGGATGCCCCTCAAATTCTCATGTTTGGGTGCCCTTTTTTTTTTTTTTTTTTTAACTTCCCTTCCTTCTCAACAATACCAGTGCCTGTAGGTCAGTAATAACTGAGCAGACATATTCTACCAATGCATCTCAAATCTAACCTGACAAAAGTGAGAGTAAACTGAGGAGGGATATAGCAGCTTTCCCTCTTCAAGCCGCTATAACTTTCAAAAATACCTATGAATGTAATCATTGAAAAGAAAGTTAATGAGCATATATCAGAGAGGTCAGATTTCGACTTGTGCACATGCACAAATGCACATTCTCTGAAAAATCATAAGCTTAAGGAAGGCCCTTCAATTCACTGTTTTCCAGCTAAGTTGCCTCTCTTTGTATTTGAATTCTTTCCTAGCATTTCTATCTTGTGAGACACAGAAAATCATAGATCTAATTTAGCTAAACATTTAGCATTTCCTTAGTTTCAAATAATTTAAAATATTTCTACTGAAATCCAGCCTACTTCAATTACTTCTGCAGGCCTCAGAAAGGTTTTCTTGTAACAGTAACATGCTGTGCAATGAAAATTCTTGGGAAAAAAAAAAGCATAAGAGCAATGCAACAGAGATGTTTGTAAGTACTGCCAGTTGTTGCAAACATGCAATAGTGTTCTACTTTAGTAGATGTAGGCCCATGTTACGTTGGTGTGATTACTTGTGTGTATAGCTGGATATATATGAGAAGAAATATGGCAGCTTTTCTTGAAATTAAAATAGAGCTTGTGCCAAAGCTCTTGAATGCTGATGGGTGAGAAGCAGACGACACTTAGTGATTACTAAAAAGTGTTAGCATTTAATTTCACTGTTACCCTATGGACAAGTTTTTCCCCAAAAAAATTATGCATCTCTGTGCTGTGTAACATAATGTGTTTTCAGAGCTGACAGAAACAAAAGAAAACAAAACACAACAACAACTGTTCTCGCACTTATTACATTTTGCACATAGCCCAACAGTAAGTATCTAGCTTCAGCTGTACAAGAAAGAACTTTGAATTTGTTTGTGAAATAACTAAATATCACAGCATTTTTCTGGAAACCATTGGAAGATTTTTTTTCCTAAAGTTCAAGTTTGCAGAACTTGTTTTTCTAATGCTTATATTATTTACAATGTTTCTGACAGTGTCATTTTTCCAAGCTAAGTTCCATCTTAAACCATGAGTGCCAGAGGTTTTTGTAGAAGGGCAGACACCTCCAGCTAAGAGAACACTGCAAATTAGCAACTTATGCTTTTAATGAGCATATTTTAAAAGGGAGTTCTAAGAGTCCTTAGGAGAATAAATTAAGGACAGAAAAAATCAGCGTAGCACAAAGATGATAATGTATTTTTAGCAATTTAGAGAAAATGCACAGAAATGTGTCTAAACCAGTTATGCTTATGGGTTGGTGTTATCAGGATCACAGAAGTATGTGATGTGCCTATCAGAGTGCAGGATTTGATGCAGTATAAAAAATAATAAGTAAAACAAAACAGGGAACATTCAAAAGCTGAAGTGACAGATACATTTTCATATACACTGCATGAACTTTTGGTTCAGTGCTGTTACCTGCAGTTTTATGAAGTACTTCCCACCATGGCCTTTTAGGCCCATAGCCAAAACATCAATGTAGAAATATCAAACTAATGCAGTATGATCTTACCTGCAATATTTGCTGTATTGCAAGTTATCTGAACCATGGTCAAGTCACGGGTGTCTGGGACTGGAAAAAATACAGAATTGTTGAGGTAGTGGGTTGTTATCAATGGTTCTATGACAGGGTGGAGGCTGGTCACAAGTGGTGTCCCTCGGGAGTTGGTCTTAGAACTGATGCTCTTCAACATCTTCATCAGTGACACAGACGATGTGCATCAAGTGCACCCTCAGCAAGTTGCAGATGACACCAAGCTGAGTGGTGCAGTCGATACACTGGAGGGAAGGGAAGCCATCCAGAGGGACCTGGATAGGCTGGAGAAGTCAGACCATGAGAAACTAATGAGATTCAGTAAGGCCAAGTGCAGGGTGCTGCACTTGGGTCAGGGCAATCCCAGATATTTATACAGACTGAGGAAAGATCTCCTTGAGAGCAGCCCTGTGGAGAAGGACTTGGGGGTCCAAGTAAATGAGAAGCTGGACATGAGCCAGCAGTGTGCACTTGCTGACTGGAAGGCCAACTGTATCTGGGCTGCATTAAAAAAGGGGTGGCCAGCAGGGAGAGGGAGGTGATTGTCCCCCTCTACTCAGCTCCTGTGAGGCCACATCTGCAGTACTGCGCCCAGGCCTGGGGTCTCCAGCACTAGAAGGATGTAGCACTCTTGGAACGGGTCTGGAGGAGGGCCACTAAGATGATCAGTGCTGGAGCACCTCTCCTATGAGGAAAGGTTGAGGGAACTGGGCTTGTTTAGCTAGGAAAAGAGAAGGCTTCAGGGAGACTTCACTGTGGTCTTCCAGTATTTGAAAGGAGCATATAAACAGGAGGGGGGACATCTGTTTACGAGGGTGGATAGTGATAAGAGAAGGGGAAATGGTTTTAAACTAGGGGAAGGCTTAGGTTAGATGTTAGGAGGAAGTTTTTCACACAGAGGGTGGTGATGCACTAGAAAAGGTTGCCAAAAGTCTTTGTGTACTCACCACTGGTAGTACACAAAGATCAAAAGATTGATCACAGTATTTTCTGAACTACATCACTTCTTGAGTGGAAATACGATGATGAAAGCTAACTACCATGATGTAAAATAACTGCATTGATACAGGTTTCTGTTCTGACTTAGAAAATACAATTTAACATTAAAAATCAGTGCTGAAATGTAGAGGCACAGAAATGAGTACAATAAACACTGCAGAGGTATGTACATGCCACAGAAGTGATTAATAAAATGCTTAGTTTCACAAACAAGAAAAGCGAGTTTCAATGTTGCATTTGTCATCTGTTCAATCTGAAATTGCTGAGGCCTACGGAAGAAGTCATTATTAATATCAGAAGATCTTACTGTAGATAAACAGAAGTTCCATTTCTTCTAAGGTTTCTGAGTGGACTGTGGAAATTTCCATCTTTGCATCTTACTTCACCCTCAATTAATGTCTTACCTGTAATACTATTTATACCAGTGACCGTCATCAACAGAGAGTAGGGAAAGGAATGGACGTCATGCCAACTCCTGATCCCTTATAGTCTATGAATGGAAATTAAGTATGCTTGATATCTTATAATTACCTGTATATTTCATTGTTCTACATCAAATTCAATTTGATTTCCAATTCTGTTTTGGCACAGAGACTGAGATTCCCAGGCAAAAGCGGTCCTTAAGCTCTCTTCAGCTATATCTAGTGAAAAGCGTTGGTTAACTGTTGATAGCAAACTGTATTAGCTGAACTGCAGTGCTCATGCTAAGATTTCTCCTTGACCAAATTTTTATGTCTTCGGAAATGTACTCCACTCATTAGTCTCATTTCCAGCTTCTTGAGGGGCACAGTAGAACTTGGAGTTCATCTGCAGTTCATCTTTATTTTGGGCCTTAAACAGTTACACTGTATCTCATGCTATTACACAAAGTGGCTGCATTCTTCTGGAACAGTTCTGTGTGGGTTTATATTATATATAATAGATCCACATTTTACTTAAATGAATTCTGTTTACCAGCTCAAGTTTAGCCTGTATTAGTCTTGCAGAATTTGTCAAACTCTGATTCTCCAAGGATGTAAACAGAATGCATGTATTTTTCAATACTTATTCCCTTTTACTCTATTTACCACGCTAGGGAATTTTTAAATGCCAGTCTAATGATTGACTCTGTACATCATTTCACATTGCAGGGTAGTGTCAGATGCTGGAGTTGCAATGGAGGAAATGAATGTTAGGATCTCCAGATGCTGCTAGTGACTTTGGAAATGTTAGCCATGTGTTCCGCATAGTGTTAAATGTATAGCCAAGAGGAGGATAAATACGTTGCCTTGTCTGCTTTATAACAGGTAAAACCCATCACAGAAGTATTAATGAAATCAGGATATAAAAATAGGAATCAGAATTACATAGTAAAAAAAGCTCAGTGTCTCTCTTTTGTCATGATAGCATTAGACAGCCCTCCTCTCAGAAGGCTTGGATAAATGTGACCTTGTCTTGTTAACTCATCATTAGCAAGATGAAGAAAAAAGACCAGGCCACAGGGCCCACTCCCACAAACTCCGATCTTCCTGTCACAGAATCACAGAATCATAGGGGTTGGAAGGGACCTCCAGAGATCATTGAGACCAACCCCCTGCCAAAGCAGGTTCCCTACACCAGGTCGCACAGGTAGGCATCCAGGCAGGTTTTGAACATCTCCAAAGAAGGAGACTCCACCACCTCCCTGGGCAAAGGAGATCCGCTGAGCATCTCCACAAGACATGTGATGTGTAACACAGCCCCAAGAATGCTGAAGCAGAAAAGATGGCAGACAGTTGTCTCTCCTTTCTCCAGGGAGCCATTCTAAGCTGAGGTGGAGAACATACAACACTTGCTTTTACAGATAAGGGAAACACAATTGCATGATATTGGAATATGTTCAATGTTCATCCCAGATGTATGTGACACACGTATAATTCAAGAAACAATTTGGAAATGACCTAACAGTTGCTGCAAAACACCTTGAAAAAGTTTCTTCATATCTGCTGTGTCTGAAAAATTGTATGCTCAACCTTGTGTCCACTCTAGTCAGTATGTCTGAGGCACGAAAAGGAAACAAGCCCTTCTCATTCTTTTAAATCTCTTCAGGGCTCACCCAGCAAGATGGTCTTTTCTGAGGAAAAAAAGAGAGATTTGTATGAGCAGTTGTCTTTTTCCACGATGCCTGATGATAACACTCTTTTTGGACTACAAACCCAATGGCATTATGCAACCAGAATCAGGATCTAAAGTGAGAGTATTGGAGCAGCTGGTGACTGTGTCTGCTAGCCTATGGAAGCAGAGCAGGAGTCAGATAAAAATTAGAAGAGAGCACATCCTTTTCACAAAAAATCTTTGTAAAAATGCTTCTGCATTTAGCAATTTGTAAACTGAAAGCTTAAATTATAGGTTCGGTATAATTTTATGTAGCATGCAACTTTACATTTCCTCAAGGAGTATCTCAAAGATTTTACTGAACTATGAAAATTTCACTTTCGACTAAAGTGACAAAAGAACAATTTTCATTACCTCAGTAAAAACCAGTTTGGTCTTGGCTGGGTGATAGCATGAGTTTGCAGGGAATACTGATGTGAACTCTCAAGTATCTGAATTCTGAATTCACCTTCTGAATTCATTATCTCCATTGGATACAGGGATTGAGCTAGAGAGGAGAAAAAATGGAAACAAGTTCATTTGATGTAATAAAACGCAGAAGTTTTCTGACAGAATAATGCACAAACCTTTCAATCTTCAAGAAGGACATTTCCTGTATGGAATGAATATGGGTGCATATGAAAACATCTTCAACTCTATAAAAACTAAGGAAGATTTGAACCGCAGTGTCCAGTGTTAGTTTTGGTATTGTGAGATCTTCACTGCCATTCTTGTTCCCTGCTCAGCATACTTCTCAGTGGTCTTCAATGACAACAGCAAAAACTCCCTCTTTCTGCATGTAATGGCTGCATACTCCTTGTATTTTAGAATATGTGTTTCAAAAAGTAGTACGCAGCTAGGATCCATCAAATTTTTTCACTGAAGAATTGACAATTTACCTCCTACAGATAAAAATGACTCAAAAATGGATAGATTTTTTATGGGTGTTGAGTTTGCTTTCTAACAATGTCCTCAGAGTTTGAAATAGAGCAATTTAGCTGTTTTAGTAATTTTGAACTGAAATACACATTTTGCAGACATCTTTTAATAATTACTATTTTTGTTGTTGTTGTTGGATAAACCTATGTTGATCATTTGCAATGTGAGTCTACTAGTATCATTACAGTCAGTTCAATACCAGTTCAGGGCTAACCCCTGAGATTTTCAGTGATGGGATCCAGCTAGAATGTAATTGCATGACAAGTTCTGGGCTCTAGAGTACTGTGAGAACAAAATGGGATGTTTTAATTTACTTGGCTCACAAATAAATCAGCCATTTTCACTTGATAAAGACCCCTTCCTCATTTATTAGTGCTTTTAATACGCTCTTAAAAGTCAGGCACTACTTACAAATACTTTTCTTTTATGATAATCTGTATATGTTACATGTATTTATTTTATTTAGACATAACTCTATCGCTGCCTAAGCATCTGTGCACTTAGAAGCAAAGAGACTGCAAAACAGTATCACCATATGAAAAAAAAACCTGAAGCCTCAACATTTCCTTGTATTCTGGTTTTGTAAAAAACATATACTGTGGTCTTCTTACCAACTTGAGTCATGTGGATTTGATGTAATGTGAGTAAACAGCAAGATATTTAACTCAGAAGAGCTAATGATCTTAAGGCTGGCCTTGGGTGCTCAATGACTCGATGCACCCTGACAAACCATCCCCATGCCTGCAGCTTACAGCTCTTGCAGACAAGCTGGCAGAAGAGCAGATTCCCCTTCTCCTTGGAAGATGTGATCAGGGCAGCAACAGTTCCACTTGCTGGGATTTAGAGAAGTAGGTTAATACCTAGCCTAGTTTCTGGGCTTGCTTTGCTTAGAAGGTGTAAGGCTGCTACACTCTCTTGGTGCCACACATGCAGGAGGTATCTTGCTCTGGGACACCTCTGCTAGTGAGCATCCCATCCACAAAGCCCGGACATGGGAGTCATCAGGTAATCTCTGAGCCTGGCTCTCCAGCTGCTTATCTCCACTTACAATCCCAGTTACCCACTTACAGCAATTAAAGAAAAATGATCCATGACAACACCAGAAGTTCTGATTTGTGACCTACTCTCTCCACCTGTGAAAGATGCTTCCTGGGGCCAGTACCAGGGTCTGCATGAGCGAGGTCTTCCTGAGAGAGCAGACCGAGGCAGCAGATTTGACTCAGTATCTTCCAATCAGTTTTTCCTTATTCTGTTGCTAATCCGACCTCTGGTGTTTACAAGAACCTCTGCCTTCACACCACATTTCTGAAAATCGCCCAGGAAAGCATCATCAAGCATCTAACCCCCTGATCCTCTTCCCCACTCCAGAGGCGCTGTCCCCTCTCCTCGCCTCCCCCTCGCTACACTGGCCACTCCTGCACCCCACAACAGCTTCCCAGCAGCCTCCCCCCGCCCCTTAAAGATCCATATAGTCCCGTGTAGTCCTTTAAATCCCCATGCAGTCCCACGGATCTCCCCGTGCCACCCTCCAATGCTCTCATCCCCTGCAGTGCCCCTTCAGCCCTAGAAGTGCCACCGCCACGCAGCCGCGGCAAGGGTTAACGGCAGGGCCGGCGGGCACATGACGGCATGGCCCGGACGGGTTCCGCGCTGCCGGCGGGGAGGCGAGAGGTGAGCGTGGCGAGGAGTGCGCGACCGCTCCGCGCCCTTTTCCGTCCGGTCCCGTCTGCCTTCAGTCCCTGGGGAAGGGTAGGGGGAGCTCGGCTCCTCCGACGTCGGGAGAGGGTGAGTCGGCAGCTCCGGTCCCCCGCGTCACAGCAGGGAGGGGGGAGAGAGGAGTTGCGGGGGAGAAAAAGCCAAACAAACGAGCCTGTGGTGAGGTTAGCTGGCCGTTACTCACCACGCTGGCCAGCTTGCAGCCGCGAGAGGAGGGCGCAGCGTCGTCTGGCAGGACGGGACACACACCCTCCCTGCAGGCGGGTCGCGCCGCGAGTGAATAAGCGGAGATAGGTAACCGCCGGAGATAGGTAACCGCCGGAGGACGGCGCGACTGCCACCGGCTGCGCGGCAGCAGCGTGAGCGGCGCAGCGGGGCGGGGCGAGGCGAGGCGGGGGGCGAGGCGTGGTCCCGGTGCCCGGTCCCCGCGGTAGCTGGCCCTGGGCCGGCCGTCAGCCTGGCACGGCACAGCAAGGGGCAGCACTGCGGCCGGGCAGCTCAGCCTCCCCGGTATCACAGCCACGACATTCACGGCTTTCAGCTGTGCTCTCCTCTCCCGAGTCCGCGGGGGAAGCTTTTCGCCCGGCTTGAAGCTGCTGAAGTTTCAGCTGCGAGGTGTGTGGGAGTTGTACGGGTGGTGGTGGCCGTCTCCTGGGACATCTGCCCGCAGAAGCGCGTGGTGGTGGCAGCGGGACACCGGGGCAGGTGGCTCTGGCCCTGTGGCTCTGCCTCCCACGGGGACGCTGCCGGTGCCGTGCCGGGTCCTGCTTGCACTCGCACCTTCTCTGCTGCTGATGCTGCAGTGTCAGCATTTGCGGCCGCGCTCCTGGAGGGTCCAAAGTCATGATGGGCAACGAGAGCGGGGCAGCGGCGTGAGTACAAGGCGCAAGAGTCGGGTTTCACAGAAGCCACAATGTGTGAGGGTGCTGCAGCTGTCAGCGGCACTTCGCAAAGCATGCCTCGGACGGGTGCTCGCTGCCGTCAGGTTGTGTTGGCTTTCTCCACCAGCTCCCTGAACTCTGTAGCTCATCCTAATGAGAGTAACGCCACTCCTTGGGAAGTTCATGCTGTTGTGCTGCAGCAGCCACTTGCAATAGTTCTGCCTTGCTGCCCTCAGTTCTAAAGGAGAAAAGGTTGAGGAGGTTCTAATCACCATCGTAAAGACCTGAGAAAGTTTTTCTAGTGGGGTGGTAAAAGTGCTGGGTCCCACTTGTACGAGGACATACATCATCCTGATAGCGACTGCCCTCCTGGTGATAGTCACAGCAACTAGCGGTGGCTACGTTCTGTGCTGTGTTTGTACAGCTCCTTGCACAAAGGCATTCCTTACTGTGACTAATCTTCCCAGGAATTACAGTGATGCAAGCAATAAGTAATTAGTATATTTTATTATGCTAGTGCTGAGAAACTCAGTCATGTTTGGAGGCTGGTCATCTTACTGTGCTGCAGAGAACTTCCTCTGGCTTTTTTATGCCTGGCTCATTGATGCTCTATCAAGAAGGCTTCCTGCTAATCTTAGAGAACCAGAAAACCCTCAGGCTGTTCATCCCTCCCCTTGCTTTCCCTGGCTGACCACCCGCATTTAACAAAAGTGAAGTATCATCAGGGTACTGTGGTTTGGAAATCAGCCCCTCATGGTAGTCCAAAAGTACAGGTGTTGTGAAAAGAACATGAGCTGCCAAAACGATAGATACTCTGTGAGGCACCTACTATAGCAGTGCATGTTTTCTGAGATGGCAGGTAGCATAGAGGGTCAGAAAGATTCTGTGTAAATTGAGTGGAAGGCTTATTTGTAGTTTAAGTTTTGAAGCTACGTTATCTTCCTTTACTGCAGCTGTTATTCCTAATCTGCATGTTGTCCCAACCTTAATTTCCAGAACTCTGTTCAATTCTTTTTTTTTTGTTTCCAGCTGAAACTCCTTCCCTTGGGAAGGAAAAGGAAAACCCATCACTGCAGTTGTTTTGATTGTGAGCTATAGCCAGGTGCCTATGCAGCACCTGTGCAGCAGTCATCATACCAGTACTTCATTTGGTGTGCACGCACTTTTCCAAAAATTAGTTATTAAGCCAGGGGCTGGTACCTCTGCCTGGGTGCATGCTTGTTGCACACAGCTGCAGGGCACAGCAACAACAGGAGCCTCTGTTTCTGTAGGACTGTTAGTGAGGCATTGATGCTTTCCCCTGGACTGGTGCTGAGATGGGGCAGGTGGGTGGGGAAGAGGCTGTCTTTGTTCATGATGGGCTGAGGATGTGTGCACAGTCCTGCAGCACACAGTCCAGGAGTACAAAGAGAGGTGACCACGTCTGCTCCCACAGTGCATGGCAACTGCTGTGGAGCTGAAGTTAGGGTCCTTCAGCCTTCTTTGTTTAGGGATGGTGCTTGCTACCTAATGCGCAAAGTGCCCTGATAAATGTCACATAACTGCATGTATCCTGAGCTAGATTCATTCCATCTCCTTCAACTGGCCTCTGGAGCAGTCTGACTCAGGTCTTACTGGAGCTGAAGGGTGTTTGCCTCCTACTTCAGTGGGTGAAGTGGTAAGCCAACTCTTTCTAAACTGCACTGGAGCAGCAGACAGTGTGGCATACCGTGCTGCTGGCACAGGTTTGTGAATTCTTTGTTTTGCTTTTTGAAGGATTACTAATCACATTTTCCAGAGGTTCAGTCTGACTTTAAATTTTACTGCATGATTTTCTGAAAGTGAATTTATAAATCATTGTTGTGTAATTTTGTTGTCATGTTGTTATTGATAGAGGTACATTAATAAAGCTTTGAGTAAGGTCAGCTTAAAAAAAGGAGACCTCAGAAGCAATCAACCTAATTATATTTCCTTTGACATCACTATGAGTTAGACAGAGCACTGCACTGTCTCACGGATGGAGGGAAATATCTCACTGAAAGGTAGCAAGTGCTTGTGTTTCTTTGGTACAGCAATATAATTCATCTCGCAAAAGTGTAATATTCTTTGGTATTCTTGTATTGTAAGTTTCAGTCTTATTCAGCATTTCAAATTGTCATGTAAGTCGCTCTAATCAGGAGCTATTTATGGTGTGAAGGTCAGATAGACTTTTAGAACATAACTAGCATAACTACTGGTTTTTAGTTTGTTACAAATGCTTTAATGCGCCTCTAGATATATTCAATGTTTTGGTTAGAATCAGTTGGGCCCCGCTGGCTTTGATATGAGAATGGCATTTTAATGGAAGCTGGTATGAAACAAATGAAATCAATGAAAGGGCATTTGTGACCAAATAATACTGTCATTACTGCGAAGTACTCATTTGAAAAGATGGGGGAGGTAACTCTCTTCAAGATGTATTAATACTTTGCACATTAAAATAATGTTATACTTCTTCATTGTAGAATCAGGAAAATGAAAATCAATTCTAGAGAAATAACTTGTTTCTGCTTTCATCCAAAGGAACAAACTGAATGCACTTGTGTGTACTTGCAGAGCATTTGGTTCAAAATATATCTTAGCGGCTTGAGGAAAGAAATTAGAGGCCCAGAAATCTTTTCTCCAAATGTAGAAAAACAGCAGTAGACAATGATAAAAGCAAGGCAAAGACAGAACTGTCTTCATCATTGTAAAATAGAGTACAGAGGAGAACAGCAGGGAGATCAACCAGCTTTGACCTGGATTTTACCTGAGCTGGCAGGTCTGTGTAAACTGTGTGAACTTCTGTTGATTAAACCAAAGGCACTTCTACCTAATAAAGCTGATGCATTTGTCATGTATTTCTTTGATTATATTAGTACTTTTTGCAGGCAGGGATTATTGACAAGAATGTTCATTTTTTGTAGCCCCATTTATAGTGCCATGCTATATTGCTTTGCCAATGAAACTGCTGCCTTTGTGTGTCCTTTTCTAAGGAGCTACTCACCTGTGTTAGGGCATGGTACATTCTGCCTTTAAAACAAACTGAGAATTTCAGAACATCCAGCTCTGCCTGTCCTTAGTTGAATTGAAAAGAGTGATATGTGCTTCAGCTAGGCATGAAAATTAATAATACTGCATATAATTTGTGTACTACATGAGTTTTATTATGGACAAACAAATATAACGAAGAAAGATAATATATAGAATACATATTTTATGACCATTTCAATGTCAATAGGGTATCTCTTCTTAAAAAATGTCAGTCAGGGTGGTACTTTTGCCTTTGAATGTAATATACATAGGTCTTTCATTGCTGATGAGTTTAACCTGTAGTGTATGTGTGTGTGAGTATCTGTCCATGTGTATGTATCTCTACAGTTGCTTAGATGACTTCTACTCTATTCTGGAGATGTGCTATGAATGCTGTTTTGCAAAAGGCATGTTTGGTGTTATGCTTTTTTTTTTTTTTTTTTTTTTTTTTTTTTGGCAGTGCATGGGAAGAGTTTAATATGAAACTTCACACAAACTTCAGTCGTGAATAACTGGTCATAACTTTTCTGGCTTCAATGCTGAAAATCTCATGTGCTGAAGATAAAAGTTACAGATCAGTTATTTGCTGCACAGAAGTTGTAACACTGAGTTCAAACCATAATGTATACGTGAATGAAAACCATAATTGAAGATGAACCTCAGTTTTATTCCTATCAACTTAATTTGTGTATCTACCCAAGTTAACTAGGCACTGTATCCATGATTCAACAAACTACTAGAACACGTACATTAATGTTAAACATATGAACCCAGTGACTAAAGTTGGGCATGTACTATTAATCTGAATTAGGGTGATATTACCCAATCTATGTGACATATTAGCCTAATGATTTCACTGATGCAGCTTTTTTTCTACAGATCTTTTTGAGGCCAGGAAATGTTTAGATCTAGTTGAGGTGTTCAAGAAATGCTCAGATGTTGTACTAAAAGACATGGATTATAGGGAAATATTGGTGGTAGGTGGATGGTTGGACTAGATCTTGGAGGTCTTTTCCAACCTTGCTGATTCTATGATTCTTTGATGCTGCTGTTTGTTAATTCATGGCTGAGAAGATCACTTAAACCCTTTACAGTTTTGTCTTCTAAGAATGAAGTAATGGGAAAAGTAAAATAAAGAAAAGTGTCTTAGTGGAAAATCAGAGTTGCAAACTTACTGGCATAAATTGGAAGATATTCTTGAAAATTTGCAGCTGAATGATGGCATCTAAGTTAGAGCATATCTGCAGATTTACAATGGAAATCCGCCTTTGCAGGAACAGCAGTTATGTTTTTGAATACCCACCAGAGCTGGAAGGGCCAGGGACATTTCTGTGGTTTTGCTTTTCCCTCTCAATTTTCTTGTGTG